TTAATATACTTTGATATGAAAATGTGGCTAAAAAAATAAATCACGCCACATACTTGGGGCGAAAAAATTAAATCATGTCACATACTTGTGGTGGTATAATTGGTGACTTTCCTGTGTGGCGAAAAAAGCAAATTGATGTACAAAAATTAATATGCTTATTGGTATTTTTGAGGCGTGAAATATAGCAAATTGACTAGTGCTGGGCCAGAATATCCATTTTTACCCTACTGCTGTCCGATATGCTGAGGTAACTGATAATGAACTTGACAGTGGAGAGAAAGAGTTGTTAAATCAACTCTTAGAAGCTTATTTGGGAAAACATGAATGAGATGAGGACAGTACTGACGAGGAGACAAAGAAACCTCGAACAGGAAATTACTTTAAAATCCCTGAGGTAAATACTTTTGGAATTCCATTCCGAAAGGAGAAATTCAAAACTGAAAATAAAACCAAACTGACCAAAAGGAGTAAAAAGAAACTATCTCCTGAGAGAAAGAAATTTACTAAACTTGAAAAGAAGAAAGTATCCCGATTACTGCGTACAAAAGAATTTGACATTACTGAACAAATGCAAAAACAGGAAGTTGGAATTACCTGGTCTCAATTACTCCAACTTCCTGGAATGAAACGAACTCTTATGAAGAATTTAAAAGTATCTAGAAAAGTAGATGTAAAAACAGCTGACCAAGAATATCGACCACAAGTCACCTCATTCAAATGTATCATTGATATTGATGGTTATACAGTACCTGCCATTGTTAATAGTGATGCTGCTATAAGCATGATTACGCGAGATATAATGGAACAATTAGGATACTCCATAGATGAACCTTCAAACAGCGTAATTTTACCTGCTGTTGGAGAAGGTACTAGACCCTTAGGAGTTATTAGAGATTTTCCAGTTACCGTCGCAGGATATACTATTCCTGTTGATGTCGAAGTAACTGAAGCATCCACTTATACCCTCATTTTAGGAAATAATTGGCTGTTAAAAACCAATGGAAATTATAATTGGCAAAGTCAAGAGTTAACTTTAAGATGGAGAAATCAATATTTGATTTTACTTACTTCCTGCATATAAGGAAATTTAACAGAAATTCCTGAAACTACTAGTGAAGAGGAAAGTGAAACGTCCGATGAAGAAATTGAAAGTGATAACTAGCATGAAAATGAATCTTCTGAAATTGAGGAAGACGATGATGATGAAACTTTTAAAGATTGCATTGAATATTCCAAAGAGGAAATAAATTTCCCCAAAGGGAATGCAAATGAAAGTGATAATAATAACAAAAATGAAAGTGAAAATGATACAGAAAGTGATAATTCCGATTCTATTGAGTCTAAATATAAGGAAAGTAATTTGGAATCTGAATCTGAAAGTGATAGTGATAATGATAAGGATATTTTAGATAAGATCTCTGTAATGATAGGAGACTCATTAGTTGAAACTGAATTGAATGTTGATACTTTAAGTACTAAAAAACAAGCACAATTCAATCAGTTATTTGAGGAGAATCAAGATATGTTTGCAACAGATATTAATTAATTAGGATAAACAAATATTATTCAATATAAAATTGATACTGGAATTGAGAAACCTGTAAAGCAAAGGTTTTACCATTCCAATCCAATTGAAGAACAATTTATAGAGAAAGAAATCCAATGACTATTACAAAAAGAACTAGTTGTGAAATCCTTTAGCCCTTGGACTTCCCCAGTAGTTGTTGTGGGCAAAAAGAATGGAAAACAATGACTATGTGTTGATTATAGGAAAGTGAATGCCCTTACAAAAAAGGACGCTTATCCTATTCCTCGTGTAGATAATATGTTAAGCGCAATGCAAGGTGCAAAATGGTTTACCACTCTTGATTTAGCGAGTGGATACTGGCAAGTTGAAATGGACCCTAGTGATAGGGAGAAAACTGCTTTTATTGTAAAACAAGGAACCTATGAATTTACAGTAATGCCGTTTGGGTTAACTAACGCTCCGGCTACTTTCCAACGGCTTATGAATCAAGTTTTTAATGGCTTATTATACAAAGGTGTTATTGTTTATTTGGATGATATTAATATTTATTCCAAAACATTTGAAGAACACCTGGAGAAATTGAAAGAAGTATTAAAACGGCTACGTGCTGCTGGTCTCAAATTAGGCCCTGACAAATGTCACTTCTTGAAGAAACAAATTGAATTTCTAGGTCATATTGTTAGTGACCAAGTCATCACTACTGACCTAGTGAAAATTGAGAAAGTACAATATTTCCTTCGACCTAAAGATGTAACAAAAGTCCGAAGCTTCCTAGGATTAGCCTCTTATTATAGGAAGTTTATTCACGACTTTTCTAAAATCACCTGACCCTTACACCAACTAACTCAAAAAGAAACATCTTTCAGATAGAAAAAGGAATATCAAGTTACCTTTGATACTCTCAAGGAAAAATTAACAACCTCACCTATTTTGGCACATTCTGATTTTGATAAAACTTTTTACCTTCTGACCGATGGATCATCTGCTTGACTTGGCACAGTATTAACTCAACTAAATGACCAAGATCTTGAGTAGGTAATTGCTTATGTAAGTAAAAGCTTACAAGGGGCTCAAAAGAATTATATCGCTACTGAATTGGAATGTTTAGCTATAATTTGGGCAGTTGAACATTTCCATCATTATTTGGGAATAAAACCCTTCATAATTATTACCGATCATTCTGCCTTAACTTGGCTATATACTAATCTAATGAGAGGACGACGTACCAGATGGATTTTCAGATTACAATCATATAATTTTGAAATTAAACATAGACTAAGAAAAGAAAATAAAAACGCGGATGCGTTATCCAGACTTTAATCGATACAAGAAATTATAATTTTATTGAAAGCCCGATAATAAGTTCAATTCAGTCTAGGTAGTCGGTGTCCTAGCAAAATTACTATTCACTATAGAATTCGAACAATATCAAACCATTTATAATTATTTAAACACTCAACAATACCCTTCTAATTTTTCACAACAAGATAG